ACCAAATTTTTCCACCTCCATTTAGTGCACAGCTCTTTTCTTTTCTTCCAGTACCGGTCATACTCAAGTACTCCGATGGATTGTGCCCGCCGTTACTCATTTCTTCAGGGCAAATGGCAAATGCCAGCTCTGAACATGGATAATTACGCACCATTAGGGGATCTTTAGTGCAGAATAGATCAGAGCCTCTTGCGGAATACAGATAATAGGCACAGTGCATGTGGTCATTGTGACGTAAGGTAAGCAATTAACAGGGTGTTTAGTTTCAGTAGCACCAAGGGGGAATTTTCAAAATGGTAGAAATGAGCTTTTTAAAAATATTAGATCAACCTTTCCGTAAAGATGGACAAAGCCATGGCGTGTTAAGAGATTACTGCTTATTTGAATCCCCAACATCACTCTTTCGCTTGTGTATAGGTCAATCTGACCAAGGACAGGGTCTCAGCTAGCCGTTTCAAAAAAACGCCCACGCAGCAGGGCCACACAGGCATCGAGACTGCTGACCAGGTGTCAACCTCCTTCAGCGCGGATATGGTGGAAAAAATATCGCAAACTAATATGTTCATCAGCGCAGTTAATGCCAACAGCGCTGGATTTACCAAACAGGAGAAGGCACGGCTCGACCCAACATTCCGGTCTTTTTTTTATTTTTTATTACTCAGATATACTGGGATTGCAGTGTAGGGGGCAGACTAAGAGAAAGATTCTGCAGGATTGATCATATCGCTGCAGTCATATGTTGGCTGTACGGCGGGTACAGTCTCACCACTTGACACGTGTAGGCCACGCACGAGACCACCGAGTGGTAACGGGCTAATCTGTGCAGACTGCTCATTCACCTGACTACAACCGCGGCGCGTGTGTCGGTGCGAGAGAGAGGCCTTTGCTGAACAGATTTTATGTAGGATTGTCTCATCACAGACCCGCTCGAGATCTCCACAGCATTTCTCGTCCAACAATGCCAATGCTATACAAGGACAACTCTCTCCATCTGAGGGCCACGAACCGCATCCCCGCGGTGCTCTACTGAGTGGAGATGTTATCCGTGTCAGCGTGTGCGGTGTGAGCGCGACCCACCTCACTGCAGTCCATGATTTCACAATAGGTAAGGAGACATGAGGTGGCCCGTACCGCCGCTCAATACTATTAGAGCTACATAACAGCGAATAAAAATATCAGAAATGGAACAACAGAAAAAAAAAAGTGTTCTTGAACCTATCATAAATAACAAAAAAGAAACAATACACCACCCACTCCGCTCACCACCCAAAAGAAAAAAATCAACAGCTAAAAACAATAAACCACCAAAAAGTCAAAACAAAATAAAGAAACAAAAGTCGAGGTACGCGTTGTAGGCTCGGTGGCCCGTGAATTGCTATATGTATATTATTTCATATAAGATCGGATTATTTTTTCATATATGTAACATGCAACGTACGGCTTTCCGTTTGGTTGAGGGACTTGGCGGTTGGGCAAACCATTCATCTTATATTGTTAAGGAGTACTAACGGTTTTGTTTTGCAAAAATGTATTGCAAAGGAATAGGAAACTTTTGCTTAAATGTGATGGAAAAAATAAATATTTGCTGGAAATGGGGATGAGTAAATACTGAGTACTATAAAATACAGAGGTATAAAGGGCCATCAGGATTTAGATTACCGGCTTCCATTAATATAAAAAAACTAATAATCAAGATGTTGATAATCCTTGTTGACTTTTAGGTAGTCGAGGCTCCCCAAAACACCTGATACCGACACCACCCTAGGTACCAATTGCCGATACATGCTGCGATCTTTTTGTTTTTAAACCTCCCAGCCTGGTAAAGCCAGTCCCAACTTTATGTCACGAGAAGGCATACATATTAATATGGTGGTGTAACTGCAATCATAGTAAATTTGATGTTGGTGTCAGAAACAGGCCCGTTAAGTATGATCACAGTGCTTGTATAAAGTGTACCTTGTTCCTTTTAAGTACCTGTTTTCATCTTCATGTGCACTATTCTCTCTGCTGATCATGCGAACTACCCATGCCTTCGCCGCTAACCCTGGAAGAAGGGTTCTCTCACTTAGGCTACCACTCAATCGACCAGTAGCAAAGCAAACATTTATTCAATTGATTGTTGCCGATGACTACTCTGAGCGCTGAAAAAGTGGTTGACCTGAAGGCCATTGCAACATCACTGGCTTCATTCAGTTTATTTCAGTGGCAAAAAAATCACAATTAGGGTCAGTTAAAAACTGCTTAAAAAATAGCGCGAAATTAAGACCGTATTTCCAGTTTCAACCCAGCTGTTTAACATTGAAAGATTTTCGAAGTTTTATTGATACTAACAACACGAGAAAGCTTCTCAGTTCCAAACTCTCCTCTGCTGATATCGATGTAATAACATCTGCTACCCTAGCAATAATTCTTTATACTACCAAATCACCAAATTTTTTTTTAGTTTAATTGATATCAAGTTTTTTTGCTTGTGTGTGAAAATAATGTGTCTATTTAAGTTTCACGTGTCCAGTTCCCCAATAGTTGGCATGCTCCCACGTTCAATGCTAAAAGTTACTTTTAAGACATCTTGAACAGATTATATACACCAGAAAAGGTAAATATATTATGTTTTGTGATCAGATACAAGAGACGCAAGTATGGGTTGAAAGTGAAGTGCAGATGGGGACATTAATTGTTTTTTTGTTAGGTCAAGTCTGTTAGTGCATATTTAACTGGCTGAACCATCAGTAAGTACACGCGATCTAACTTTCGAAACTCATTAAGCACATCTGTTCGTGAATAATAGCGTTTCATTAACTTCCTTGTCTCATATTTTGGTAGACATCACAGCTATGTGTTATATCTCTCTTTGCAGCTTAACTTGTTGGTATCTTAAATACATGGCCTGCGTCTTCCATTTTTTTCCGTTTCTCCATTTCGGTTTGTATTTGCACGAACAAACATTGCCGCCCAGTTCCCAAGAGGTCTAGCTTTTAGCCTAGGTCGGTGGTACATCAGCCCCGTGCCAAAACTCTGGCCTCTTTGTCTCAGCTATATTTTTTGGTTGGTGGATAAGAGGCTTCATGACGTGGGAAGGTGTCCCCATGGGTCGGTTAGAAATTAAACTAACATATAATAAGGGGTCCATTATGGACCAGATGTACTTTGCATGTTTTGTAAGATATAATGCTCCACTGAAGTGTGGTGCCAAAATAACGTTCTTACCAATAATAAATATGAAGTACATATATAGACACTTTGTGATACTTTTTTGCCCTGACGTGTCACGTTGAAAAGAGAAAAGTCTTATGTGGGTTTGGTATTCTGTTGTGTAGGTGGACGTATGCAATAGAGTTTTATTTGTTTTATGTCGATTTCTCGCAACTTACGAGTAGTATTTTAGTGTTCTCCTTGTCATAATGTTTACAATTTGTTTCAGTTCCTGTTGTTGGTTGGTATTTTGTTGTGGTTTGTCTATGGAGTGTCTCAATTAGTTGGGCTAAACGCTATATGTTGTCCAATGATATGATGCAATTAGGCTGTAAAAAGATTGATAGTTTGTCTGATGATCTGAGTGTAGATTAACAGTCTAGTTTCGGAGCTATGGTTGTTTCTTTCTTCCTGGACTATTCTGGTTTTTTCAGGGAGACATCAAAGAACTCTAGCCTGCAGCTAGGTATTTACTCACCACTGTTAAACTTTAGTTTATTTGGTTATCTGGTTGTGAGGCGAGTTTGCTGCCCATGCTTTATTGTGATATGAGGGCCAACAGTTCACCAACTTGACACCTCATTATTCACACTCCTCTCAGTTTAATGCTCGTAATCCTCATATACCTGAAGGTGGGCGTGCCCTCCATTGTAAATCATTGTTGCTTGCCAAGCTAAATTTGATGCATAGACGTTAGCGAGGCTCTTACAGAGCAGTGAGACGTTACAATTGCTAGTTCACGATCAGTAGGATCAGACGAGCCAAAGACACGAGAGCCATCCCTCTGCAGAAACCAGCATACCATATCTTCGGCAAGTGCACTTCGGGTGCATTCTGACCACAGTTGAAAGAAGCCATATTAAAAATCAGATGCGCTTCCATTCAATAGCATCAGGATTTTCAAAATGTATGCAAAACATGGACTTTTTAGCAAAAAATTTCAAGATTTAACCTTCCCCCTGTACACCAAGATGCGACTCAAAGCAGGACTGCCGTAGACGCTTACCTTATTTGATCCCCATCCCTTTGCTTTGAGTACTTATGCTCAATGGAGCCAAGCACTCAGTAGCCGTGGTTTGCACACTAAAAAGCCAGCCAAGCGCCCAAAGCATCGCGAGACTCGTACAGCTTCAATTCTACGACCGTCATTGGTAAAATAACATATCCAACACTATTAGTTCCTCAGAGTTCCAGATTGAAACCCACGTCCTTGGATTTATCCTGGTTCGCCAACAAGGACAAGACGTCATCGACTCAACATGTTCTGTTTTTCGTTTCGTTTTTTTTACATTTACTCCACATAGCGTGTGGGATCGCAAGGCCTGAGGGGGCGCAGCGGAGCGGTACCGCACACAGACAAAGATCCTGACCAGGCATTGATCATTATTGCCCCCTGCAGTCCATTACATGATCCTTGTGTGGGCTGTAAGCGGGCCGGGAATTTTCAACAGCTTTGACACAGTGTGGTGGCCATCGGCGCGACGCCAAGCTACATTGTCTTTGCAGTTAAGGCTGATACTGCGGTGAGTATGCTCACTTCGCGCGTACTGACTTCGGAGTTTGTGTCGGTGCACGTACAGACGAGGCCTTCTGCTACAGTATTTTTTCTCTGGATTGGAACTCGGCTCAATTAGACAGGTTCCGAGATCTGAGCACAGCCGTTGATCTTTCTGGTAAGGGGGAAGCGCTTTCATTGACAAGGGGGTTCGGGGTAGATTTGTATTAGGACTTGGTGTTTGGGTTTTTGCGGTGTGGGGTGATTCTCTGATGAATGTTTGCCGGTAAGAACATGGGCTGTTTGTGTTGTTTTGTGGTTGATGATTCTTAGCTTGTGTGGGTGAGTAGTAGTTCGTTATTGTTATTCAGTGTCGGGCTTACTGTATTTTGTGTTAATTGTGTTTTTTTTTTTTTCTTCTTTGTTCGGTAGTCTTGTGACGTGGGGATGTTTTTTTTTGTTTCGTTTTTGCGTTTTTTTCCGTTGTTTATCTAATATTTAAAATGGCTAGGTGATGAAGCGATACAGTATTTTCTGTTAATAGGCTCAATGGGTAGTAGATTATAATTTAAGAGTACGCATACCCCATGCAAAAAAACTAAATAAAATTGTCATCTGATACAGGTAACATGATTATTAATATACATTATAAGCTTGAATGTGTACATGTGAGTGTTATATCTTAATTTTTTCATATTAATGTAGAACATGATACAATCATTTCCTCTGTCAATGATATAACTATTTTTTCTTAAATAAATGTATTGAAAAAATTGAAATTTTTAAATTGATTTAAACTACAATATTCTGTAATTACGGGGAAAGTAAAGCCACGTATATACCAATAAAGGATTAACGCCAACTAGGCTTTACATTACATGCTTCCATTAAATACTAAAAACAAAATCAAAACAACGTTGGGCGCAGAAATAAAAAATCCTGACTTTGTATCGACGCTCCCTAAAAACAGCTTGATAGACACCTAGGCTACCCCGATAACGCACTTTTTCTTTTAAACTCAGCTGTAAATATAATATTATTACAAAATACATCACATATTTTTATCGAGTAACTAATTGATTTTTGAAAGTCAGTTGATAAGTATGATTACAGTGTCTGTATTCACAAGTGTACCTTGTTCCTTTTAAGTAACTGTTTTCAGTCTTCATGTGCAACAATTCTCTCCTGCTGATCATGCGAACTACCCATTTCCCCTAACCCTGGAGAAGGGTTCTCTCACTTAGGGCTACCATTCAATCGACCAGTACGCAAAGCAAACATTTATTCAAATGATTGTTGCCGATTGACTACTCTGAGGCTGAAAAAGGGGTTGACTGAGAGGCCATTTCACATAACTCTCATCATAGAGTAGTAATCGGCAACAATCATTTGAATAAATGTTTGCTTTGCTACTGTCGATTGATGTAACACTAAGTGAGAGAACCCTTCTCCAGGTAGGGAAATGGGTAGTTAGCATGATCAGCAGAGAGAATAGTGCACCATGAAACTAAAACAGTACTTAAAAGGAACAAAGTACACATTTATACAAGCACTGTATCATACTTAACGGCACTGATTTTACACCAACATCAATTTACTTATGAGGAGTACAACAACCTATTTATGTAATGCCTTCTGTGACATAAAGTTGGACTGGCTATTACCAGGCTGGGAGGTTTAAACAAAAAGATGCATTATCGGGAATGTACCTAGTGTCTATCAAGTGTTTTGGGAGCTCGACTACTAAAAGTCAGGATTTATCAACTTTGATTATTGTTTTTTTTAGTATTAATGGAAGCATAATGCTAAATCCCTGGAGTGGCCCTTTAAGTACGGCTCTGTACTTTCCTATAGTACTCCAGTACTTTTTACTTCCGATCCCCAGCATTTCACAGGCAAATATTGTATCTTTTACACAATCACATTTGAGAGCAAAAGTTTCAGCATAGTTCCTTTGCAAATACATTTTTTGGCAAAGACAAAACACTTAGTAGCTCCACCTTAACCAGATATAAGACTGAAATGTTGGTTGCATGTTAATATATGAATAAAAATAATCCACTTATATGAAATATATAATATAGCAATGTCAAGGGCCTACCTAACTACATAATACATAGTTTTAATTCTATTGATTCAATTACAAATTTTACTTGAATTTTTTCTTTGACATTGTGGTATTGCTACTCTTAAGATATATGAATACTTCTAACACCATTGAACTTTGCCAACAGAAAATCATAGTCCTGGTCATGCGAATACATTTTAGATAGCCTTACATAAAATAGTTCAACTCCAGCCAGGTAAGCACATATTGTTGCTTACTATTGTGGCAAATCATGACTGAGTGAATTCATCAAACCCACACTGAATAAACATCTCACTCAGTAACACAAACACATTCTGCCTCAGATGGAGAGAGTTTACCTTGTATGAGCATTTGGCATTTCGAAGAAAGTGCTGTAGATCTCGGAGGTCTTATGAGACAATCCTACATAAAAATCTGTTAGCAAAGGGCCTCTCTCTGCACCGACACAACCCCATAGTCAGTAAATGAGCATCTCACAGATTAGCACCTTAACAAAGACAAGTAGCTCTGCGTGCCAAAACTGTCAAGTGGTGAAATTACCCGCCGCTACAGCCAAACATGTATGACTGCAGGGCGATATGATCAAATCCTGCCAGAATCTTTCTCTACTCTGCCTCCCTCACTGCAATCCCAACTATCTGAGTAAATAAAAAATAAAAAAAAACGAATGTTGAGTCGACTGCACTCTCTCCTTTGAGAAATAAATCCAAACGTGTTTCAATCTGAACTCTGAGAAATAATAGTTTGGATATTTTTTCCACCATATCTAAATTGAACTGCTACAGTCTCATGCTTTGGCCTTGCTGGCTTTTATTTGAAACCAGGCTACTGAACGTCCTTGGCTCCATTGACATAACTACACAAGCAAAGGGATGGGGATCAAATAAGTAAATTCTACAGCACAGCCATGCTTTGTCCATCTTTACAGGGAAAGGTTATCTAAATATTTTTCTAAAAAAGCTCATGTGCTACAATTTTGAAAATTCCTTGGATGAACTATTGAATGAAAACACTGATTTAAATGGCTTCTTTCAACTTGTCAAATGCACCCAATGCACTTCAATATTATCTGTATCTCCAAGGGAGGCTCTGTTCTTTGCTCCTAAATCCTACATGTGATAATTAAGTTCACTGCTTTCAGAGCCTCGCAGTTTCATTTGCTGAAGAAAATGATTTAAGGGGCCGACACATCATCAGGATATTGAGATACAGAGTACTGAGAAGAGTGTGCATATGAGGTGGAAAATTGGTGAAGTTGGCCCTCATGTCACATACAGCATTGGAGCACATGCCTACAAGTAAATACAGTAACAGTGGTACTTTACCTGCTTGGAAAGCCAGAGCTCAGAGCTTTCTTCATGTCTCTGAAAAAGATGTCAGAGCAAAATGTCAGACTGCTGTTAATTCACTCAGATCATCAGAACACTCTCATCTTTACAGCCTTTCTTTCTTGGCACTGCGTTACACTTTGACTCGATACACAGAGATTGTAAAATGGAGAACAATATTGTAGTTGCAATGTAATCATATTCTTTCCCCAAATGATTTTTCTTTTATGACAGTCAGCAAAACATTTTCAAAAGTGTTATATTTTTCATATTTTGTAAAAGTTATTTTGGAACAACACTTCAGTGGCATATTTTCCAAACAGAATCATCTGTCACATAATGGACCCCTTATTTTGTTGTTTATTTTAACACGCCACTGGGGACACCATTCCCAGTCTGAGCCCTCATTCCAAACCAATATGCATGAGCAAGAGCCAGAGTTTTGGCAGGGGCTGTGTCCAGGCCTGGGCTAAGCTGCCTCTTGGCTGGGCGGCATGTTTGTTCGTGCAAATCACACCGAATCAGGGAGCACGGAACTGGAAAGCGGCCTGTTGAGTCCCACAGTTCAACTGCAGGGTTAACACTGCTGTGTGTCATCCAAATATTGAGAGAATATGAAAGGAGTTTACTTCAGCAGATGTGCTATGATTTCAGAAAAGTTGTGGTGTACTACTGTAGTTCAGCCAGTTAATGACTAACAGACTTAGAACTACACACAATATCTCCCCTTGCTTCTTTCTACTTTCTCTCTACTGTACTATTTATTCCTTTCTGGTATTTTGATCTCAGGATTCTAAAGTTATTTAATTGGGAAAAAAACTTTCCAAGCAAGCTAACTGGTAAACAGTTTAAGCACTTTGTGTGACTAATTTTAAAGTCTCCCTTGACTCAAAAAATATTTTTTTTTTCTTCTTGTTCCTACAGTTGGATGTCTGATCTTCACTGTGCAGAATAATGTCTGTGGAGAGTCTGACACTAGAAGGATGTTTTCACATTCATCTGCTGAAAGTGGAACGTGTCTCTGGGCTCACTGAAAATCAGATTTTTAAGGGGCGGGGCCTATGAACATGATTTGTGACATCACAAGTATGCTACTTATACAAGTGTGATGTAGAAACTTGAAGCCACAAGTGCACCGACACTGAGAATAGACTTCACAGGGAAATAGGAGACATCTTGTGTTCAGCAAGAAAACTTTAGAAATGAACAAAATGTTAAAATTTGGAGGAGATCTTGGATATTTTGTGATTTAATTTAGAGCTGTCCCATCATTTCACTGAAGCAACTGTAGAGATTCTGATTTGTGAAATATTCATACCTGTAACATCCCTTATACTGAACAATATCGAAAACCTCCCATTATTCTGACTTGGGAGTGGTTATGCATTCGTCCAAGATGGCACTTTTAGCCTTGACTGCTGCTACTAGTCACACCAGATAAATATCCTAAATTAGCTTCTTTGTTGTGTTACATATTTGTACCTGTTCATTAAAAACTAAGGTGAAACTCGTAATAATTTAGCTGAATTGATTCTATTCTATACAGTAAGTACATTCAACCCATGTAAGAGCAAGAGCTATATCATCCAAACCTATGTGTCCCTTTTCAATAAATAATTAAAAGCATGTACAGCTTTACATTGTGCTTTTCTTTTTCTAAAGATTTAAATGTGACTTTTAATCCATGCTGCTAGGTGTTTGTTTACACTGAAATGGGACATTTTGTAGCTTATAGAAATCCCTGCTATCTCCAGCTCATAATAACAAGTCAGAAGCTAACATGAACTCGACTGCTTGAAATAACATTCTTCTGGATATGACGTCAACACAGCATTACATGAAATAAAGGCATTTCAGATGTATTTGCATCTTACACATTTCTATGGTTTGGTGCATGATGCATTTGTTATCTCTGAAAACTTTCGAATCTCACCTAGAATATAAAATAGTTCTGTGCCAGTGCGATGCAGATAATGCTTGTCTGCATGACTGCTGAATAGGTTAATGAGTCTCATAAACATATGCAAGGGCACCTGTACTTTCTAACTGTCTAACATGAATAATAGATGCCACCATTTGTGTCATTCTTTCTTAAAACATATTCAACTCACAACAACAGAGCAGGTAGAAATCACTTAATGGATATAAAGAGGAAAAGATTTAAAATGGCATAAGCTCATGAAAAGAAAGTTGAAGAAAAGGAGTGCAGGGGATGAACACCGGACAGACATCCTTACCTTGGAAATAAAATCAGGTATCATAACTCAAGAACTAATACGCAAGAACTTACTAAGCTCGATCAAATATACACAATTGCAAATAGCACTCCTCTAAAGTTTGACAAGCACTACTTAGCCTTTTGATATAGTTTGATATTGAGCATTAGCTTGTATTGCACAGGCAATGAAATTTCCATTTTCAACATATTTATTTTGCAGACGATAGATTAGAAACTTTAAACATTTTCAAAGCATCTCACCTTGGATCAACTCATGGACACACTTTTTAATCTCTTTCTATCTTTCTCTCTCTCACACACACACACACACACACACACACACACATATACACACACCGTGACGCAGGCTCCGGTGGTGGTGTCGCACACAGTCAGGATGGAGATGTTCTGGGCCCGGTTCAACCACCTGACAGATGTCTTGGTCTTGCTGATCCACTTCACCATGGTCACATAATGTTCCCTGTAACAAACATTATCAGTACACTGGTTATTTAAAGTGCTGCAATTATCAGATCACTGTTAAATATAATGGATTGTTCAATATAGAAGGAAATGCAGATTAATTATATACATATGCATTTTTAAATGGTAAAATAAAATGTGCACATATGGAGATTATATATTGTGCACAGATTTAATGTGAAGGTTACGTTATCATGAAAGGATTATGTGACCATAGGTCACTATTTCCATGTACATTGAATATTTTAATGAGCAGTTTCCTATAGTCTCTGGGCATGGTTAAAATAAGAAATAGAATTACTGAGGATAAAAGTCAAAATAGAATTTTTTTTTGCAGTTGGCAACTAGGTCAAGGATGCAGGTTAATGCTTCCTGGTCCTTACAACTCTACCAAATCACTGAAACTTCTGCTCTTCTTTTGTTATGCCTCTTCTACACGGTCTTTTCATGGTGTTACAAGACATGACCTTTTGACTTTCTGACTTTTTGTGCACGGAGAACATCATTTCTGTGTTAAAGGTCCAGTGTATAACATTTATGAGGTGCTGTTGGCAGAAATGGAATACATACCGATCCGCCATAACATTATGACCACTTCTACTATCTTGTTATCATGGAAACAGGAAAAACGGGTAGCATAAGGATTTGAGCAACTTTTACAAGGGCCAAATTGTTGTTGAACCACCATGTTTCTACAGTAGCCCAGAAAAGACGCTTGGAAGGGGAGGGTGAAGAGAGTCAGTGGCGATCTGCAACTACACTGCTAGATACAGCTGAATTCTACACACTGGACCTTTAAGATTGGGTTAACATTTCTCAAAATGCTGTGAGTCAGAGTGCTCCAAGACTCCAGTAAGAGTCCAGTACAAAAAATGCAACCAGATGTACAGTAGATACAGTAGATTTAAATAAATAAAGTCACAAGAAAATCATTAACAGCCATAACATTGACTTCTGCCATACAGTGATGCAATCTTGTAAAATCTCATACTTATAATGAGGTCTCTTTAAATATGTTCAAATGACAAATTCAGTTCCATTCAATGTGAAATTATTTTAAAAAATGGTCTTTTGCCTCACCAGACCTATGCAGGCTGGGATTTGTTGGTCACTGTTTGTCCTTCAGTTTGTTAGCTACTTCATTGAAAGTAAAAGTTACAGCTAGTATAACTGCAATGCAGGGGCACAGCGAGCTGCAGTGTAAAAGATTCCCCAATTAAAGCTGCAGACTGTCTAGTGAGGAAAAATGATCATCCAAAGTTTAAAATGTCAAAAGTATCCCTTTAAGTGGCACATCAGCTGATGCAAAAGTTTGACAAACAAAATGCAGCTCTTCTCACCGTAGTTTGAGAGTCTCGGGAGGCATGAGCTCCAGCGTGTGCGTTGGCCCGTAAAGATTGACTACATAGAGCCTCACCGCCGGGTTGGGTTGGCCAGCCTGCACGCAGAACAAACAGTCCAGAGTTTAGATGAAAAGTCATTGCAGTGTCATTGCCATTTTGGATGGTGTTGCATAAAGTGCTGCAGAAGGATGAAGTGATTTGTAATGAATAATTCATTGAGAACACCCCTTTAAAAGACCCTTTAAAGTCTTTAAAATGCACATGCAGTGATGCATGTGTTGTTATGCAAACATTATTAATGAGTTTTGTCTTAAAAACTAAACAGCAGACATGAAAAAGACTGTTGATTGAAGATGCACTGAAATACTTGACTAAAGCAACTGTAAATTCCAATCATAAATACTGGGTATTTGTTCTCTTCTGAACTTTGTACTGCCTAAAAATCCACAAGAAATCTTCCCTCACACAGTATAACACTGTTGAGATCAGTGTTGTTTGATGTTAATAAATTCTACGACTTAATTTGTGATTCTTTGTAGTCTAATTTTCTTTTTCACTCCACCAACTACTCGCTCTACTTTGATTTCCTGTGATTCCTAAAATGACTTCTATTGATGCGCAGAGAGGGCCCTATAGACAGATCCACTGAGGGAACAACAGGTGCCGCTTTCAATCAAATACGGGCAAAGCTATTGCAGCCAGCCAACTACTTTGTGAAAACTGGGTTCTGTGTATTATCACTGCGGTGCGTTGCATTCTGTTCAAGTGAGGCTGCTGTCAGTGGGGGAAACTGTTCCCTCCCTCTTGGATAGTGTCAGCTCACACACACACTGAGATACAAAACCTGTGTTTTTTAACATTAGGTACTATTCATTTAAATCCTCTTTTTTCATAATAGTTCATGTGAAAGAAAATAACAAATGCAATGCAATTTTGGTCACTGGTTGAAAATATAAAACTGTGATATCACATTGTTACAATACATTATGGGAGAAATAATCACCAGAATATCATAGCACAAATACAGTTGGCTTTAGGATTATGCTATGGACATATTATGTTGGTATTACTGGGTAAACAAAAGTAGTTACCTAAAAATACCTTAGCTTGCATGTACAACACATTTAACAAAGCACAGTTTTATTAAAAGAATACTTCACATTAGTGTTATATAGTGTCATTCATCTTTCACTCTCCTGATGGTTTATTTATTCATGATGCATTTGCAAAGAAACACAAAGCCATCCTGTTAAACTTGGCCAGCACTGTGCTGCATCCACAATGCCTGCGGGAAGTAAAGGCTTGCTTAGCTCCGATTGTATAGCATAGCCTATTAGATTGTTTGGTTAGGTATAGTTGACTAATGTATGTAAACTTGCCACTGCAGGAACATGGTTACATAACCTTCAAAACAAGCCACAATATGCAAGTGTGTCATACGTGCTCTCTGGTACTTAACTAAACCAACAGCACTACACTTCTGGTGGGGGGAGAGGGAGCTGACTGATACAGTAAACTGCTGGCGTCTTTCAAACTCCTCCCAGGGGGGACAAGATGCAGGCAGGTCAGAAGTCAGCCTCAGATGGTAACAACACCTGCTTCCGCTGCCTTGGCTGGCGGCAGCAGGCCGAGGCAGTGGAAAAGAGACAGACGACTAAAAGCTTGCTGGTGTTAGAGGACATTACTCAGCGACACCGGAGGGTGGCTGGAGATTCCCAGTGTAGATTTGTGTTTTAAGGTGTCTGAGTGCAAAAGGGAGATGAACAGCAGGTGCGCTAGTGCTTTACAGTGTGTTGTTGCTACCTCCTGATTGGACAGTGCGTAAAAAGACCTGTCTCAGGGGGACAAAGCAGGAGTCTTGATGTGATAAACCAATAGCGAAGCCCGTTAGAGGAGAGAGTAGCACATACAATATAAAATGATATCGATCTTCTCATCTCCCTCTTGAAAAGAAGCAAACAAGCATTTGTGACACCCAATATCTTCATATTTGCCTGAAAGCTGACGGTTAATGGTGTGACTTCTAAATTTACCTTGGGATATGGATATTGCTTTCCTTTGGGGTATGTCATGCCGGTGAAACGAGGTAAAGCCATGTTGGGCACCAGACTGTCATTAAGCATCAGGAAGGCCAACCTCTCCCCGTCAGGTGACCACCAGTGTGCCACATGGGTCTGAAGGATCTCCTCTGTTTGGAAGGAGAAAAAACAGGATGAGCTACATTCTTTTATTGAATCGCAATTTAAGGATCAAAAAGTAAATTCATTTTTACCATCTCATAACACAAAATATCACAACATATGATCTGCCAATAGACACTTTAAACTATCTTAAATATACGTAGGATTTTGATGTGATTATAGCCTTTTTGCCTTTTGTGATACTACCACTGGGGCAACAGTGTTAAACATTTACAACTTACACTTATAGCAGCTTTAAATTACAGTACAGTATTCAGTTAGATGGAAATGCGTTACCCTGTGTGAACATTTCTATCTATTATTTACATTCCATTAAGATGACGTGAAGTAACAAAGGAACAGGTTAAGTGGTTCAAAGATGATAAATTAAGTATGAAACTTGGTAGAATATATTTTTTAACCGTGCTCACACTCATGCTCAGAAAGGTAAATTTTCTGAATTTGCTTTAACGTCTTTAACTCTTCGCTAATATTCAGCTGATCACTGATAATATTTTTGGTCACTGTTAATATCCCATAAGTGATGATAAATGTTGTAGAAAATGCAGCCTTATCTCGCCGTTAATAGTAATAAACAAACACGCTCTTCAAATACAGGCAGCAAACTAAACATACTGAAGTGGAAAAAAGATCTAATATAATAAAAGAGGCATTAAATGAAGCTCTAATTTTGGGGTCAACCATCACCAATTGCTACATTATTATACTTCATGAATATAATTAAGAATAAAAGGGAAAAAAAACAGGACAGCAGTGCAGTTACCGTGGTCGCTTGCCTTTTTATAAGATTTACATAATCTTCTTTTCTCCTGAGAGAATGCCCAACGTCACTAAGTGCATGCAGTGTGAGTTAAGGTAAAGCACATAAAGCGACTGCTCACACCCAGTGGCGAGATATCTGCACTAGAACAAACATTATGAATATTCAACCCTTGTCTTTTATAAACGTAATGTTTTTCAACACATGCCTTTACAGTTTAATGAGACAGTCTGTCAACACTTCAAAAATGATTATAGATATTCTCATCTCTATACGCAGTTTCTCAACACATCATTATCTGACATAAAGCTCACTGAAATTCTCTGGCACAGATTCTTCAAACAGCTACCAGGAATAGGACTAAACTGTGTGCTTTGTGGAAGAATGAGAGCTGATACGTACCTTCATAAAGCCAGTCAGCAATCCCATTGAAGATGACCCCTTCCTTTCCTGAGGACGTCAGCCTAAGGGAGTTACTCTTGACATCGGATTGGTAGTAGATGTTATTTTCAAATATGTAGATCTGTAGAAATGAAGCACACACAGTCACGACTTTAGAAATGCTGCAGGAGAGGAATACTATTGCATGGCTGTTAAATGTTCAAGTATGTGTCAGATTTCAGGCTTCACAACTGTAGCACACATCCACTAGATTAACAATTAAATAACAATATTAAATACACACATTATCTGCTCAAGCATCCAAACTATTCTTTTAGGATTAAAGGTGCAAAGCGGTGTCGGAAAGCAATCAAGCAAATAACTCTAATGTACTAGAAACAAACCTGTTACTCCTCCAAAGGCCTTGAGATTTTAATTGCACTGCTCTGTCTGACACTGTAGCAGACAAGACATAGACAACTGCAACCTGCCAACGCACCCAAACTCTCTAACTCAAAACTGTTTTGTGTTTTTGCCTGTATGTCAGCAGGTTTTCATCACAGATACAAATATCTGTATAAGATTGGGAACCCATTAAAAAACATGTTGACTGGACATTTTTAGTAAAGAAAACAAATATTCACAATGCAACATATAAAAAGGATTTTTGCTGAAAAATGTTGTAACTACAGTTCCCCATAATGGAAGGAATGTAAAGAGGAGGTATAATGTTGCCATTAGAGAATATAACACTGCAGGTTTTTAGCCCAGTTCCTGTTTGCAGTGTACCCATGGATGTCCAGTAGAGAGACATTTTTTCAGGACTCCTGTGGGTCACAGGATTCTTGTGGGATTTCTGCAGGATCGGGTCAGTTTCATTATTCATCACAGGACTGGGATGGGACAGAAAAAAAAGTCAACAGGAGCAGAACGGACGGACAGGAATCACAGTAACAGTAGGTTGTTTTATACTCATAAATATGCAGTTTTAATACAAATAAACAATTTTCTTTATTTTGAACATACAGCTAGTTGTTCCTGTCCTGTCTGTTCCGTCTGCTGGTTGGAGAGAGAACAGAGATGGGTCATTCTTTCAGGGTTGGGACAAGACAGGTTGTTTTTTCTACTTTGTCATGGGATTGGGAAGGGACAGGAGTGAAAATCCACTCCCATGTCACCCACTAATGTCCAACTATCACTGGATTACAGTGATAATGAAAAAAAACTTGATTATTCTTAGGCAAGTTCTGGAGATCACATCTAAGCCCTTAGCTGTTTAGAACAATACCTTCTGCATTAGCAGTACTATCCACCATACAAAGAGTGCAACCTACATTTCCCTGCAGAACAAAACAGTGTTGACCTTAGCTGACACATTTCACAAAGTACAAAAATCCAACTTGTCCAACAAACACCAGAGAGTCCATCTCTCAACATCACACAGACCAATGTCTGTCTCAGATGGAATCTTTCCTTGGCCTTTCCAAAAAGCCAGAAGTCTGTGGCCTTATGTGATGTTCCATAAAAATTAATTAGCAAAGGGCCTCTCTCTCTCTGCACTGACATAACCTCACTGTCTGCAAAGCCCTGTGCTGACTGGCTGGAAGGCATCAAGATATCATCAGTCCAGAAGGCAGTCTATGCATGTGCTAAAAAGTTCACAGAAATGATTATTTAATAGCAGACTCTGCAGGAACGAAGTTCTGCTCTAAAATGGGGGACTCATTACTATAACTGTAGAGTGAGAATAATCAGCTATTTGAGGTTTTAATGCTGTAGGTTAGATAACGTTTTAGAAGCTGTTTTAGGGAGCTTAGAGATCTGGCCCTGGGAAATAGGAAATTCAGATAGTGCTGTTTTTTTCCCTATATGTTACCGGCACAAATTGAGATTTACCTCTAGACCGAAACCAACCATGTATGAGTCAATCGCTCAAATATTTCCCAACTTTCCTACAGTGTGACTTTTACTAAAACAAAAAGGGAATTTTGTACTAAAAACACTTGTTTGTACTGCCGTGTCTTTAGAAAACACCCACTCGAATTTGCCCATCACTAAACAGCAGACAGCAACATGCTGTTGAACATAGAGGAGCATCTAGCAGCTAAAGAGCCAGATATTTCCCTCAGGGGTTGGTGGAGACCAAGAAAGGATAGTGAATATTGGACTTCCTTTTGTCAGGTGACTCCCAGTGAATACTAATGTTGCTCTATGTCTGTTGGATGTGTACACTGACAAAACAAAAAAAAAAGAAAACAAACATGCTGATCTTTACAATAATACCTAAGTTACTCTAGTTAAAAGTATAAAAAGGAAAATTGCTTAACAATTCCAAAATTTGGATAATGTTGGACGTCTGTAAAATACCTCTAATTACAACTTATTGTAGTAATAAGAGTAATAACTCTAGAAATAGGGCAGAATATTCACCATGAGCAAAATTCTTAATTAATATGAGATATTTTGAAACAGTGAGACACACTTCCCCAGGGAGCCAATTAAGATATTTTGCAATCCTTAGCTCCCATTGCTACAATTTATGTAAAGAAAATAATGGCACTGTTTCTCTGACTCATAACTCAGTCATGTTTGAACACACAGACATCAGACACATATTCTTACAGTCAATGTGATTTGCACTGTCCAAAATATATGATATTATTATCTTCATCATGAGTAAATATTCATGAATTTGCTTAGAAGTCACAGAAAATTGACAAATCTTATGACTCCAGAACTTGCCTGAGAATCATCATACTTTAAAAATTGTTTTAGTATCAAAGTAGTCCAGTGATAGTTATCTGCTAATCCAGGGGTACACTGCAAACAGGATATGCTAATAACTGATTCTGCAAACTTTTAATGGTGTCAATTTTCCAAAATGTACAAAAATATGGGCCAAAAATAGGGCTCCAGTTGTAGCCCACACTAGATGCATGGCAACATTATAATTTGTTTCTCAATCTCAAACCTCTAATACACATTTATAAATGATCAAAGACATTCAAACAGCTGATTAGAAAACTGGAAGATCATGCTGCTCACCTCGTCCTGTTTGGTGTGTGAGCAATGTCTTGTTTGAGACATGATGAACCCCTAATTCATATTCTAAATTTAACTCACTGGCATCTTCCTAATGAGAATACACACATTCCCAAAGAGTTGCCGTGAGGGCTCTTCACTCTCTCTCACTTTCACAAAAAACACAGCATCATTGCATTGTTTCCATCAGATGCATGCTTCTGGTGCTACATAATGCTGGTTTGGCCACCTCGAGAGCTGGAAAGCCTTCACATCAGTCTAGCTCTCACCTCCTTATCACCATAATGGCTTGCTAATGGAGTTGTGTTTGATTTATGCTCAAATATTACACGGTGAAATTTGCAAATATGGACAGAGCAGCTCTACTATGCTTTAGCGTTTTAGCTGTCAACAAAAAAAGCCTCCCCATCTGCTCGGTGTAGATAAATAAAAAAGGTATGATGGGAGAAAATTAGCATCTAATTAGGTTCCCTCAAAAAAAACTGAACATGAGTGCGTTATGAGTAAAGCAGAGAATTCTGAATTAGATGCGTATTGGGCACCATATAACCACAGTTTAGGGTTCAAATACACATGCGGTAAAAGCAGTAACACACACACACACACAAACACATCTACAAGCATGTTGAAAAGTGCCATGGCCCTTTGTATCTCTGTTTATATGCCATCCACAGGCCTGGAGCCGAAGGTCCATGATCACAAAGCTTTTGAAATATGATTTCTTTCTGTATAAATTCTGATGCCGTTTACAGAGTGTTGCGGTTTGTTGTGGTTTTTATTACAGTAACTCTCAGTAAATCCTTGAAAAAAAAAGCTTTTATAATAACTTATTTACTGTAAGCTTCAGCAGATACAAATAACTAAATGGACAAAAAAGAAAGTACTAATTTAATCTTCACTAAATCAAAAATGTAATGTAATTGTAGGCAGAGTAAAGCGTTGCTGAAAGGTAGGTTGAAGCTATGGTAGGTGTTCTCACCAGTTGTTGCCCTTGCACTCCCCAGGCAGCGTACTGCAGGACTGAGTTTACCACCTCAGGAGGGTCCAGTTCCCAAACCTCCCTGAAAAAAAAAAACAGACAACAAGCAATGTCATCCCTTACATCTAGTGTTGATCGTAAGCAAAATGAAAAATTGCAAACTAATGTTCACAATTTGATGGTTCCAGCTTCTCTTCTTGGTTTCCCATTATAGTAAATTGTGTTTTGGGGTTTTGAACTGTTAGTCAGACATTTAATGATGTTACCTTGGGGGCTAGGATATTGTTATGAGCATTTTTGACAGTTTTTTTATGTTCATCGACCAAACAATTAATTGAGAAAGTAATCAGCAGTGAAATCAATAGTAAAAATACAGTAATTAGTTGCAAATCTAAAACACACATACAACTATGGCTGGTAATATGAACACAGCAATTACTTTAGTGCAAGCTAAGGTTCATGATGGGCCAGTTTTTTCCTGTTATGTGTCCCTTTCTCTTGGTCCAGTAGACAATAAAGCAACAAAGCCTGATATCAGCCTGACCGAGATTAAAATAAAGTCCCAGAGTGGTGCCCCAAAATGGCACAATATCTGCAGAATTCATCACAAAGCTTCATCAAACGACACACATGTTTGAATAGGCAAATCCCATCACCCAATATAAAGTATAATATAAAGTTTTAATCCTCTCTGATTAGTTTTGGGAATCTTGCCCGTCACCGTGATTGGCAGGATGTGCGCATCCCAGCGCGCCTGGGATCAGTACTTTGGACACGATTGTGCAGGATGTTCTGAAGGTCCACCTGTAAAGCAGCATGATGCTACAGACTATAGGCTGATTTACTGATAGTCTGCAACATTTATTGTAATATAGGTGAACATTATTTCACTGTTATTTTACAGTGGTGATGTTTTCAGTTCATCTGTGTTATAATCCAGAACTGTGCAGTCACACAGTCAAGCTAGTCTGTAGAATATAAATGCAATAGAGAGAGTAAGTGAGCCATCTTGAGAAAAGCACAACTCTGTTCAAGAAGATTAATTTTACTGTGTTTTAAGAGTTCTTTGTTTTATATTGTTTCTGTATAAAAGCGTCAGGCATTCAATATATGCTAGTCTGAAAGGCAACTAGAGGTAAATCTTGAGAGCTATTAAAGTTCGACTTCCAGTTTTTAGATAAACAAATTTAAAAATTTAAATGGGTTTGATTTTAAAATGATTTTCCTAAAGCAAAGGTTTTAAAACTGTGAGGCTCGTTTCTCCACGCAGGCAGGAGGGAGCGACATGAATCAAAGATACTGCATGAGGTGAAAGTTACAGGAGCGTGCTGGTGTTCTAAAAGCAACTAAAAAGTTTGTTACTGTAGTTTTGGCTGCCGACAGTCAGCAGGTGGAGCAGCAGCTGCTGTGACACACAGATCACGGAGGTTATTAATAGACTGGCATCACCACACTGATTCGCAAATGCAGTTCATTTTCAAAGGGCTTTATGAAAGGGCGCAGACCGAAAAGGCTCTGGACACAATTGGATGCTTAAGCTGGAAAAAAAATGGCTGCCTGGTTACAAACTCTCTCAAAATTAAAGCTAAACAGTGCACCAAACTGTGTTTTTGAAAACATTTGAGACGATAAATAAGCAGTGCAGTAACAGAATCTTGGTTCTGTATCATTGCCTTGTTTAATTTAAGTTTTGTGAACCTGTGGTTTCCCTAGACAGACCTGCAGACTGGACACAATTGGACAGACCTATCATAGCAGTGAAACGTTACTTCTTAAATCAGACAGGCCTCTGTCAATCATTAAATAAAACCCAACCCATATTAAATAAATGGCTGAAATTGGCCCAACCGGACCAAAGGCTGGTGGAATTCCGTTTGAATGTGGCCTGACGTATCTCCCAGAGCAAATGAGCTTGGCAGATTTGTCTGGATCCCAGGTTAGTTACTGGCGTTAAAAGTGTTACAGTAGTCAATAGGAGTACCTTAGATCAGCCAGGAAGTCTCACATGTTCAGTTACGGCAGACAGGGACAGAAATCGGACAGACATTTTGAAGGAAATGTCTCAATTAGGAAGACAATACACCTGTCACTCGTCGAGGAGTTTATCTGTCTGCAAAGCTGTACTCAGGTTGAACAGTGAGAGCCAAATAGTCATAACTTGGTCAAACCTGAACACACAGACATGATACAGATACTTTTTAGTCGGTGTGACTTACACTTTCTGAGGATATCTATCTGTTTTGAATAAGGTCAATATATTTCCAGAACTTGCCTGAGAATCAGTATATGTCCGGTGGTGCCAGTTTACTAAAATGTACATTGGGGGTGGGGAGGAGTGCAGTGGGGTTGTCAGACTTTGGAAACCTCTGCTCAGAACATCAACAGATATGGGACACTACCAAATGGCGAAGTCATCCACAATATGTTCAATACAATATGTTCTAGCCAGTCCGGGGCCCCTGGGTAAATTAAGAAACACCCAACTTTTCCTTATGCAAGTTGCAACATGTAAATAGGTAATAACAATACTTTCACTGCATTTTACTGATAGTATCTGTGTTGTAATATTTTGCAAACCAGCGTGGCTCACAGTTGTGTTTTTCCCTGATGAAAAGTATTTTTTACAACACAGGTTGCCTCGGAGCAAAGGCCTCGGAGAACAAAAACACTTACCGTGTGTGAATATTGTAGATGCTGTAGGAGGCCATGTAGGAGTGGCGGTAAACCTGCATCAAAATAAAGACAGAGAGAGGCAGATTAAAAGATGACTGTCTGAAACATTAACGAGAGAAGCAGCAGTGCCACAGATAATGACTTCATGACAAAAAATGAAAAGGAAGAAGGAGTCAAACAAAACAGACTGCTGGCTGCTCTCAGTGATAGAATCTGTAGACAATGCAATTTGCATGGGTGACAGCTGTGGGACGAGACATTTTAATTCCATCTGAGAAACCCATCATCGCCGAGTGCCTGTGTGCTGGAAGCCCGGGAGAGACGGAGAGACGGAGGGAGAGAAAGAGCGAGAGAGAGACATTCAAAGTGACAGAGGGGTGCATGTAAAGCTGTCTGAAACCCCCACCGGAGAAGCTGTGGCTGACATGATAATAGACCTCTGACCGAGGCTGGTGATCGGTCACAAAAAGAGGCCATATTTTTGCATTTCATCATGAAAATGACACTCATGTGTTCAGCTCTGATACAAAGCAGAGGAATTTATTACAAGAGGCAACTATGGCGGAAAAAATTGTACTGGTAATGTAAAAACTCAGAGATACACTTGATTGACAATGGGTGTAAAATGGGGTTTAATTCTATTTCTGTCATCAAAGTAACTGTAAATAAATTGTGTCATGTGAGGTAAATTTGTATATTGCTGCGGTAACTACGTATGAAGGGCAAAATGTCCCTTTTACTGTCATAGATAGATAGATAGAT